AGTTCCGACCTGGATCAGCTTTGACTAAACTCAGGAATATGTCAGACCCCCACGGCATGTATGCCTTCGTTCTGTTTTTCTAATGGTTATCTGCATGTGTGCATTTAATGCCAATGAAGACTTGAAGGTCTGACTGTCAGAAAACTTACACAAATAACTGTCATGTCGTGACACGTGTGTCAGATTCCTCTGAGAATTGCAAGTGTGTGAAGTACAAAAAGTTCCCCATGTCATGAAACTCTGACTTGAGGGAGAGTTGAAGATGATGATAATAAATTAGTCTTTTTCTCACTTAGGAATGAATGGCCTAGAATTAATTATATTTTACACTGAAGTCCAAAATGAGAAAACTTTTAACAGGTGATGCTAGGATTTTCTTCCATGCACCTAAAATTCAATTGATAATTTTAAATATTGTAGTTAAAAACATGTATATATTTTTGCTTTATTATTTTTCACTTTTTTTAAACTTATCCATGGAAGCTATGTAAGTGTTAAGAGTTGGTCAAAAATATGATGTTACAAGTAGGCTACAAAAGTAAAACAGTGAACTTTCTAATACTTCTACAAGACGTGCTACCATAACCTGGATGAATTAAAACGTTCACAGGCGAACAAGTCATCGATTTTTACTCTCTGGTTACGAATGAAAAATGTTTGAAAATCATTAGCTCTGTCATGTGAGTTTAAATTGAAATGACGGGGGGGGGGAAGAAGTTAAGCGCTTACCCGGTCAAAACTCTTTCAGTCTCTGTCCGTGTCGAGTGTGCTGGGGTCAGTTTAGCTGGCCTGTTTAATAGCTCTGTAGTCCTGTTGCTCCTCAGGGGTGTGCAGAAGTGTTCAGCTCTCTCTCAAAGTACCGAATGAGAGAATGCTAGCGCTTAACTCTTCCATGCGTTACTATAGAGGAAGTTGAGTGAGTCACACAAGCTCCCGCCCCAATGAATGAACGGTCTTCCTTGTTTTCTGAAGGAAGTTTCAACGAATGATCTTTAAATTGAGACAGTTTGCATTGTTATTTGTCTGACTTGCCGTTTGCAGGTAGCTTAGAGCGCAAGAGATGTCTGTCTGTAGTAAATGAAAGTAGCACAATACATACCTGTTACTTGACACCCACATCTGAGGAGAAATATTCGTCATGACAATGAACAACTTTTTTTCCACTCCGTAACCGCACTGCTCATGGGGGGATGGAGCATATTTTAGACTCGGTTAATTCAACAGAGCTGAAATTATTTAATTATTTAATTATTATTATTTTAATCTAAACCAGTCTAACCATTAGAATAGAGAAAGTATGTGTTTTCTCTCTCTCTCTCTCTAAAGGTGGAAATGTCTCGTTCAGTGGAGCACATGTCCTGTAGCTTCCTTATGAGATTCTGGGAGGTTTTTGTATTCACAGGGGTTTATTTTATTTTATTTTATTTAGTTTTTAAGTATATGGTCAAATTTGTTGTTTTGGAAACTTTTATCAATGGAAAGTTTTTAATTGTCTTGAATATGTCATTATTTTTTGCTACTTTTCAAATGACTTTTATGAATAGATTTTTTTTTTTTAATAAGAAAACCTTTTTCAAAATTCCAATAAGGTGCTATGGTATGATGTGATGAACGTGCAAATATAAAAGAATGTGAAAAAGGTTTAAAATATGATTTAATATTTAATACTTGCAGCAAAAAAATGACCTTTTATTCCAAAATATTTCAAATACTGCTAGTTAGCAGAATGCTATTTAACACATTAATGTGTTTAATATTAAAATTCGTTGTGAGTAAAAGAGATGGGATGTAAATGACAGTGTGGTGGAAATGATGGCGAAAAAAAACTATGTCATTCGTGATTTAAAACCGTTTTGTCTCACTCCTCAGTAATGGATGAACAAATTATTGCTACATGATATTCACTAAAGTTTTCTATAGAAACACTTCAGGCACTTACATGTGTTATTGTATAACAAAGAGGTAAGTGTTGCATTGATATTAGTTTTCGCTATGTGGTTATGTTTGTAATGTAATACTTAAGATACAAAGATACAATATAAAGAGCCTCTTACACGATTAAAGAGAGTTACTTTGTCCTTGTACTAATTCAGGCAGCCGCAGAAAACAATGAGCAATTGTTGTAAATGAAATGATGCCGTTTGTGTGCAGCTATATCATTAGAGATGATATAACTGAAACTAAATTATTAACTGTATCTTGAGTTTACTTGCTTGTATGATTTGCTAACAATAAATGGATTCAATGATTGTCTCAGAACAGGTCGTGCATGACCTTACCAACGAGTTCATACATAATTCAAATTCATTAAATTACACCCCTAGCAAGAACAACACCTCTTGTTTTTCTCTTTAACACGTTATGATGTACCATGTCTGATCCTCAGCGTCATGACTGTAATGCCATTGGGCTTTTATTACCACTCTTTAACAGTTTAAAAGAAAGGTTTATCAAATTACACCAAATTTAATCAAGTGTAAACTGTGAAATACCTCCACTGCTTACGATAATCATTCCACTTATCCCTGAAAAAAAAAAACAGACAACTGTGTCCTTGTCTGTCATATCTTTAGATGTTTCTAATGTCTTTAGGACCTTAAAACCCTTTTTTACTGACATTTTGTACTGCCAGCACAAACTGGGTAATGTAAATAGTGGGGTGACTGTTAATTGTACCATATCCACTCTTTACAGGGTTTTGTGGTCGAATTTTGAGAGTGAGAACCAAACAATCAAGAGAGGCCTTTTCCTGGAAGGATAGGGTTCAGATGGCGTTGTTAACATCCTTGGTAAAACCTGAAATTATAAGTTTTAAATCTATTAAATGCTTTCCTCTGATTTAAAAAATACTCCTCAAAAACCTTTCCCGCTGACACAGGAGTAAAACGTGAATAAGATTTACCACAATCCAGACTATCCACCATTTACAATTTGTATGAATGGAATCAAGCAAACTACATCTATTACTTGAATATGACCACTCAAAAATTAGATGAAACCTGATTTATGAACTACGATACAGTGTAATCCATACGGGTGCTCCTCTCGATTCGGATTAATCTCACTCTGTGTATAGAAACCCTACATTGGTTGAGAAAGGCATTTCAAGGTCTTGAGCTCAGCTACTGGCCAGTAACATTATGTCATTTGTGTGATTTTAAAAGGCCTATATTAAAAACCAAACAATAATATATCTGTCAAGCGAGGGCATTTCAGAAACTCCAAGCTATCATAAACATAACCCCTTTTTTTGCCCATTTGACATTCTGCCCTCTCTTAAACACAGGTTTGAATACTTGTTCCCTAAAGATCTTTTTTGTTGAGAAACATATATAATCCGATTAAAATTCAGCCAGGGAAATGCTTTAAAAAAAGTTTTTGTTTTACATGCTTTACTGTGGTTTATTTTCTGTAGCAAAAGTCCATCGGGTCACTTGGTTTTATATGTCTAGCATAAAGAAGTTGAAAGCCCACAAACCTTGGGTCAATCAAGGCTATGACATCATATGGAAAAAGTGACCCCATGAAAGGGTTTCCTTCTCAGTAAAGAATCTGCATGTTTTGTGAATCTTTTGTGAAATTTTTATTTTTTTTCAAACATTAAACAGGAAAAAGATGATAAACATGTCATATGAGGAAATACATAGAATTAGTTTGTTCTTCTTCAGTTAAATTACAAATGAAAATACTTTCTTTTTATTCCATTTGAGGTTCATCATACTGAAACTTGAGTGTTTAATTTTGTTAGTTCCTCTGTACCTGTACAGTGCTTTGTGTGTTATATAAAAAAAAAACTGTGGGAAAAGACTCGCAGCACTGGAACATGATGTTCTGTATTTCTGAGTAAAGCACAGTGTTTTTTTTTTTTTTTTTTTTGCCAGAGGAAAAGCTGGTTGTTATTTCAAATCTGCCCTTGCTTATGTCCCATGCCCTGCATGTTTTGACACACCAAATGGCCATTTCTGCCCCTCTTTCATTCTCAGAAGACGAGCCAACTAATGGATAAACTGGACCTTCAGAGCTATAAGAGGCACACAGGTGTTGTCATCAGACTTTAGCTCTGACATTTGTCATTCTAATGGCTGAAAGCTATCCTTCTGGTTAAGATACAAATTAGGTGTCTGGAATGGAGTAGGACACCCTTTAAAGACCCTGCTTGAGAAACACCAAGTATTATTTGTTAGTGTTAACCAATCTCTTTGGCAGATAGAGGTTGTCATTATCATGACCAAAGTTATTTAAAGTGTCAACACACTGGCCAGGATATATAAACTAAGTGTCTCAGCACCCAAGGTTTGTTATTGAGTTCTTCCCTGTCGTGAGCCTGGCTATCTTCCTCATACAAAACAGTAGACAACTCCTGTGATGGATATCACTGATTAGATGGCCATATAAAGCTAATGTTGTGGTGTACGCTCAGTGTCAAGGATACCGCTTGTTACTGGAGCTTTGTGACTTTCAGAGAGTGCCGTTTTTGAAACAAGAGTGAATGATTGGATTTGAAAACATAACATTTACTGGAGTCAAAAACAATTTTGACAGAATGGAACTTTCAAATTTTAAAGGTAGGATAAGAGAGTTTATGAATGCGTGATTGCAGTGGAGGACACTGCCATCTGCTGTCGACACTTCTTCAACATTTTGTTTTACACTACTTTTAAAATTAAGACACACGTAAATATGTTTTTGTTCAGGCGCCGCTTTTACACGGTTAAATAATACTGAGGTATAGGCTACTGTAGAATTATACATTTAGTAAGCAAAATATACAATTTATGAACATTTGTAGGCTATTTATTACTTTATCTTTTATATATTGTTCATATTCTATGTATTCTATAAATTTTTATTTCATAGTTGTTGTTTTTTTTTAAAGAAATGTCTAAATAGTTATAATACTAATAATACGTTTGATCAGGATGGAAAGATAAAATCTTCGGCGCGAATCTGCTGCTGAGAAATAACATGGTGCTACTGTGCTCCATCATATCCACGTGGGTTAAGAACCGTACATGTGAGGTTGTGAGGTGTACATACAAATTCCTGTTTAGGTTTTTTCTCCCTCAATCAATCGCAATTGGATTTGTTTTCAGATATTTACAGCCATGTCTTCTTTTCGAAAAGCCTTGAAATCTAAGCAACGAGACCACAAAGAGCGATCACAGGTAGGCTCAGTTTAAACATAAGTTAGGCCTACTAACTCGCGTGCTGCCTTGCTAAATAGCGTTTTCAGCAATTTGCTGAAACAATGTTTCAACAGTGTTTCAATTGCATTTATTCTGACAGATAAATTAATGTACGGAAGTAATTGTAGTGGCAAAAGAATGGGGCTAAGCGGGGTTTTCTGAAATCCGACGGCCGCTTTAGCTTATGTATCATTTCCCAGCAGTGAATGAGAAGAAGGTTTAGCTTTCCATATCTTATTTTGTTTATTTTTGTTTGTACATCATAACGTATTTTGACTTTTCTCCCATCTCAGCTCGGTTTCAGGAAACGTTTTGGACTGTTAGAGAAGAAGAAGGACTACAAACTTCGTGCAGAGTAAGAAATCACAAAATGTATCTTTTTATTATTATTGTTGTTGGATATTTTATGTTTTTTGGTTAATGCATTTACTTAGACGCTCTCTCATTAGAGATGTTATTGCCTTCTCTTTGAAATGTTTAGTGATGTTACACAAGCAGCAATTTGCCATTCTTTCAAATAAATCGTTATTAATTAAATGATTAAATCTCAAAGGGAAAAAAATTTTAATGTTTATTTTTTTCCTTCAAAACAAGAATATAAAGTAAGTAGTAAATGTGAGGTATTTTAGTTAAGATAGTAGTATGTACTTGGTACAATGTGAAAACAGCGAGCTTAGATATAATAACTTTAGATGTAATAAATGTAAATAAAAAACAAGGATATTACGTAGGACTTTGTACTTCATATTTGTTTGTAATTTGAATATAGTTGAAATAGTGCACTTTATGATTTCAGTACAGTTTACAAACCGCTGTGTCCAACCTGTTATTTGTAATGCAGTGACTACCAACGGAAACAGAAGACCCTCATGGCCTTGCGCAAGAAGGCCATGGATAAGAACCCTGATGAATTTCATTTTAAAATGATACACAACCAATTAAAGGTTTGTCACCTCTTAGTACTACTGCTGCATTCAACTATCATAAACTGCATTCAACTATCATAAACTGCATTGAGAGCACGCCTACAGTAGTTTTTTTATGGCTATGAGGTTTTGTAACCTCTGCTCATTCTGCTACTGTTCAGGATGGAGTTCACATGATCAAACCAAAAGTGGAAACGATGACAGAGGAGCAGAAGAAAGTGATGAGGACCCAGGACATCAGATATGTGGAAATGAAGCGAGTGTCGGAGATGAAGGTAGGACTGGTTCTTCCTTTTTATCTGTGTATTTGTGACTTTATCCCTTTAAAGTTGAGAATAATGGCTTAAATGTTTCTGTTTTTCAGAAAATCGAAAGGATGAAATCAGAGCTCCACCTTCTTAATGTTGATGAGGAAAAGAAAAATAAACATGTTTTTTATGTGGACTCAAAAAAAGAAGGTAATATTGTATAGTTGCACCTATTGCATAGTGTAAGAAATTCAATTTTACGTTTTAAACCTGGCTTATAATAAGCTAGTATCATATTCATGTATTTATACACTTTATGCTGCCTACATTGCTATGCCAGTAAAATAATCATTATTAACGTATGTTGTATATTGTATATATATTTAAATGTGGTTGATACAAAGCATATGCCTCTAGTTTCTTAACTTTAGCTTTAGGTGAAGTTAATACTGTATGTTTGTTAATGTACATTGTCATAATGGTTTAAGATCAAACGATACTTGGTGGACCACCAGCAGTATTGCTGCAGACTGCTTGTTGAACTAGACATTATTTATTTTATATTTTTTTCATTTTTATATTTTCAAATCTGTTACATTTTCATGCTAGTGGAGGACTTTGACCTGGCCACCCACCTCAACACAGTCCCTGAACTGGTGGGACGAGCATATAACAGACCTACAATAGAGACCCTGGAAAAGAAAAGCATTGTGGGAACAGTGGAGCCTCAGAGTATAAAAGTAATGTAGTCACTGCATAGCATGCTATGTACATAACCTAAGTATTTTAGTGTGTACAGTGCACTTGTTAATCATTTCTTCATTCATTAACCTATTGCTAATAATAATAAGAGTATGAATTTTTTTGAATTGTAATAAATAGTAATAATTGTATAAATAGTAGTTATTGTAATTACTTAGTTATTAATTATGTTGAATAATGTGTATATATGTAATAAATTTTAACCCATGAAAATGCAGATCCTGTTGTAAATAATGGTGAAAAATCAGTTTTTAACACTAACTTCTTTGCATTTATTGTCCTCCTCCTTATGTTTGTCTTTTTCTAACATGTTTATTCCCCCTTTCTCAGAAACTTGCAAAGCAGAGAGAACTTCAATATCTGAGGCTTTCACAGCGTATTGACAGAGAAAATAGCATGTTTGTCATTAGTCAAAAGATCCAGACTAGAAAAGATCTACAAGTAAGTGCATTCATCTACATTTCACTTAAACCCCTTCAACATGGGCACTTGTAGTACTGATTAGAATCATTTCAGTTTGCTAATGCATGGATTTACTATTGATCTAATGTTTAAGAAACGTGTTATCTTGTCTTACGATGAAGTATTGGTTGTGCTTTCAGAATGCATTTGTTTTCATCATTGTGTGACATCTGGGTTGTGCTTTTATCTCTGACAGGATAAGGTTAAGAAAGTGAAAGTCTGTGAGGAGACCAGAAGTGCTCCAGCCGTCTATAGATTTGAGGCCAAGAGGAAAAGATGACATCTTTGAATCGGCACACTGAGGAAACTCACTTTGTCTTGTGGCCACCAATCAGCCGTTTAATCTATGAAGTGGACTGAATCTATGGATTTGTCTTTCACTTCTATAACGTAGTCTGTGAGGCCATGCTGGCAATCTTGCACACTATAAGGCAAGGAGTTTGTACATATTTATTGCAAAATCATTTGTTGCTTTAAAATAAATTTTTGTCTTTAATATTTTGTAGTTCTTTGGTTTTAACAGTAGATGGCACTAGCACATCTCATCTGATCTCATCAAATCTGCAACCATGTTACAAAATGAGCAACTTGTCTGTCTCTTGATGTAGGCATCACTTTTTAAAATGAAACTAATTATGCCTTCAAAATTCAGTTGCAACTCTCAAATTATTGGGTTACTTAGTGTTTGTATTACATGGTCTATTACCATAATTTAGAAATACTGTTAATAAAATGAACAAACAAAAATATGAAAGTAGATTTTGTGTAATAAAAAAAAAAATATATAATTAAAAATATATAAAATGAAAAAAATAAAATAAAAGAAAGTCTTATTAGTAAAGTCAAACAGCATATGTTTTTTTTTTGTTTTTGTATTTACATTTATTATAATCTTTACATTAAGACTTGGTAATAGTCCCAGTGGTTTTCAGTAAATATTACAACAGTCATTTTTTGTTCTTTATTGCTTATTCATTTGGATACATAATGTTTTTAAGAGTTAAAGCAGAAGTTCATTTTCTCAGAACTTTAAATGGCCCACTTTTAAACACTTTGTACCATTCTCATTCCTGCTTGTGTAATTGTTCATGTGAAAGGTTGTGTGCTTTCTGCACAGACTGAGCTTTTTGTGTCATCTCTGCGTGGCTTGATTGATCATGAAGGTGGCAGCGGCTTCATAAACAGGCCCCATCCATTACTTTCTCCTGGGAAAGAGAGGAGGGGTGAATTGGGAACAGGGAAATGTCACTGTGTTTGGGAGGAGCAGGCCAGGAGTCTGTCTGTGCCAACACTGACCACAGGAAAAGCTGGTTGTAGTGAATGCTGTGTGCATACTGTTTCTGTACTGTAATACACTCAACATTTTAAATATTTACATATTATAATTTATAATTTTTTTTTAAAGGATTTACAAGTACATGTTCACAGTGACATGATGAACATGCATGTCTAAGCCTGGTGATATTTACAAAGCAGCTCCGTGTGACATATCAATATTGACCTTCTGTATTTGCACAATCCTCAGCCAAAAGAAGTGACAGGCAGAGTGTGCGCGTGTTTGTGCGTCATGTGCTAGTGCATTCGTCACTGCGACCACCTCGGTTTGGAGTGGAGGGTCACGCAGCCGTGTGCGCAGTTCCGCTCTGCTTCCGTCTGTCGTTACACAGAAGGCCACTGTTCTTACTGAAGCCTGTCTTTCATTCAGATCAGCTTTTGCACAGGGGTCATGGCTGCAGGTCTGCCAGTGCGGTGTTGGTAGTGACCCCTAGATTTGAAAGATATTGGTCAAAATCCTCCACATTGTCCCATAATGGTATTAAGGAGATGTAAAAGAGGCCTCCTGTGGCACTTATAGAGCTCTCGAGTAATTTGTTAAAGGTTGAGTTGACAATAGTTTTGAATAGGCTCATTTGATGGAATGCCATTGGAAGTCTACACTGACCCTCAGTGCTTTTGCTAATTTTTTTGCTGGTTTGTTCATTCTGTTGTTGTAAATACAACTGTGCTGATGTGTTAAGTGCGATGAGGGACTACAGATCACCATTGTTGTTTTGGATAAATAGATGTGAAGATCTTTCGAACAAATTTCGAAGGCATGCAAAGAAAAAAAAAAAGGCTTTTAAAAGGTACACTCAGTTATTTTTACCTCAATTAAAAAGTTTTACACAAAGACATGAAAAATTATTTTGGAATATTTAAACTTTTGTACACTTGCATAACATGAAGTTGCCTCCAAAAAGTTTTATTTTACAAGGAGTGTGGAGGCAGCCATTTTGAGATCACATGATCGGCTGTATACTATACATTTGACATATTTAGAGCTAGCTAGTGTGTGGTTTAAGACCTTTAAAGTAATTGTTAATTGTTGTTTGGCAGTTTTTGCTTCTGTAATGTAACATTCAAACAAGATGTTATGCAGGGTGGTACTTTCAGTTAGAGCTGATTGAGTTATGAAGTGTGAGCATTGCTCACTAAATCAAATAACCAAATGTGATCTAAAACAACAAAACAAGTAGTTTTAGAGGAAGAGCAAACTTTTCATTAAAGTCACAATGTAACAGAGGTAGCGATGAGTCAGCTCTTCCATATTATGATGATGAACATCCAAGTGAAACGAATTAGCGAAAAAGAAAATATATGTTGGGGATTTGGTTCTCTCAATCTGTAGTTGATTGGATGGAGGCAGATTTGGCGGAATTTGGCTTGCATTTGATTGTATGAAAGGGGCGGGGGTTTAAGCAGACTAAATGTTTGGAGATGTTTGGCATACTTCATCAAAGAGAAGTTTCACCCTGAAGATGGAGTTAAAACATATTATGAGGTCAATAATAAAAAAAAAAAACCTATGCATGGATGAATTCACAACACGATCATTAACATACATTTAAAAAAATAAGGGGGATTTCATGACGATTTTGTTCAAAATAAGACCTTAGCTATGAACTCTATGCTAAAATATATTGTGAGATGTTTTAAGCCCACATTAGGGGTTCAAATATATCAAGAACCTGGATATAGAGGTCATATATTTGTCATTTTCAATTAGAATTGTCAAGTGTTTCTCACAGAAAAAAAAGATACCGTAGTGAAATCATTAAGCTGTGTAATTGGGTTAATGTCTTAACCTGACTCCTGAGTAATTAATATGAAGCGATTCTGAATGGCGCTAATAAAATGAGTTGTAAATGACGTTGGGGCCCCTCATGTAAGTGGGTGGGAAGAACCATTTCATAGCAGAGCAGTTTGCTTATTGCCGATTTGTATCTCTCTATTTTTTTTTTATTTGGAGTTTTTTCATGTAATACATCACGCTGTAACAATTTCCATGGATTAAACTGTAATTACAGACGCACATAATATATCATGAATAATATGAAAGCATTATTGTGTAGGCAATTAATGCAAGAGCTTTTCACAGCTGTATAGTGAATAGAGCATCGTGAAACACACTGGAAGTAAGGCCATTTCTTAATCACTCTCTGTACATAACAGCGTTGGTGACTCGGAGTAGTTTTGACCAGAGAACGATGACCTTGGCTGTTATTACAGCACCTGAGCCCGCTGGATGTCAAGCCCTTAGCCTCCTCTCCTCTGCCGTGCCTCAAAGACTCCTTTCATGAGTGAGGTTAAGAACAGCACTAATCGATTTGCCAATTACGGTACAGGGTAACTGAGTGGGTGAACAGTAGAATCGGTGGGTCGTGTGGAGAAAAAATGGCTGAGGTTCTTATATCTGCCCCTTTGAGTTGAACCTCAGTTTGTCACACGGCTTTTGAAGTAGCGGATTGTAGCGAGAGCTCGAGGGGTGGGGGTTTGTCTCTGTGCCAGAAGGAAAGCGATTGAAGGAAAATCTATAACCCTCACTGCGTGCGAGTATGCATGTGTGTGTGTGAGATGGGATCACAGAGACCCCTTTAAATTGTGACTAATTAGCCATGAGCCTGTTTGGAAGAGGCACTTGAATTGATTAAATTTGCATGGGAGTCTAAATCACGCTAAGGCCTCCTCCCCGGTGGAGCTCGTTTCCCCCTCTGCTCCCCAGACGTGGCGGGCCCATGGGGGGGACCCGCTGCGGGTGAGAGGACAGGACAAGGCGTGGCGCGCACCCATCTGCCTGGGTATTACCGTTAGTACATTACTCTCCCACTGGCAGCCGTGTGCCTGGGGGATGTGTTCATTACACTTTAACTACTGGATCTGTCCTTGTCTGCAGGCAGCCGGGTGTCATTGTCTGTCTATCTCTGCATATCCCTCCACACTCCTTCACTCAGCCTTATAGAACAACAGTCTGGCTTTATGGTCTATTATGGCCCGTTAACGGATGCACCTTATTGTTGTTTGCTACATAGTCTCCCTGTTGGTTTTTGTAAAGTGCTCTCCAGCATTACTTCAAAAACTAGTTCAGCCAAAAAAATTTAAATTGTGATCATTTACTCACAACCATCTTGTTTTAAACCTGTATGGCTTTCTGATTTTCTTGTTTTTTGTCCATGCAATGAAAGTCACTAGGTCCAATGTTGTTTGAACTCCAACATTCTTTAAAATATCTTCTTTTGTGTGCCGCAGAAGAAAAAAAGTCATAAAGGTTTGGAACGAAATGAAGGTGAGTAAATGACACAAATATATATATTTTAATATTATGAGTGATTTCTCTTTAACTTTTTGATATTGAAGTTGACCCTATTCCATAGACTCCATTGACGTGTAAAAATAATGATTTATAATAATAATTTTCACTTTTAAATTATTGTAATAAGTTCATATGAAGCTTTACACTTTTACCACAAGGTAGGCATTCATATTTCGGAAATGTGACTGGCAGGAATGTGCAATATATTGGTACCATATTGGTTATCAGAGAATTTTAGATCTTTAAAAAAAAAATAGATATCAGTGGATTATTGGATGTTTAATTGTGCATGCTCATTTAATCTATTTTTACTTAAATTAAGATTACCTTTGCCATCATCTAATGCTCAATTAAATCTAATCTTTATAAAACACTAATAATTTAATAACACTGTTAAATCTGAACATTAGCAAATCTAAAAAATAAAGTACATTATAACGCTATGATACTTAAATTCACTTATAGCGTTTAAAATTATTTGTTTTTAGTGTTTTAACTGTGTTGATTTAGAAAAAATGTAGATTTTAAATATTGTCCATAATCGGTTATCAGCCATAGCATGAAATTATTATCGGCTTATCGGTAACGGTCAGACTTTTATCATTAGTAAATCTCAAAATAAAAATATACATTATAACCTTGTGATTCCTAGGTAATTAAACCTAGTGTTTTAAAGTTTAAACTGTTAAAGTTTTTAGTGTTTTAAACTGCATTTAATCAGACAAAATAATGTAGAATTTTAAATATTGTCCATAATTGGTTATTAGCCAGGCTTATTGGTATCAGTCAGGCTTTTATCATTAGCAAATCTGAAAAAAAAAAAAAAAATCAGATGTCAGAC